CCTCACTCTGTGCTTTGCTGTCTCTGATAGAGAGGCAGGAGCACAGGGAGGGATGGGGACAGGAGGATCTGGTGTTTTTTGGGGAGTTGGCTTTTAAGCCAGCTTCTCACAGGCACTGGTTCCTGCTCTCTTCCCCGCTGACTCTGATACAGAGGCAGCAAGGGGTTGTGTGTGTAGTTGTTGGGATTAACCCATCGGCCCAGGCTTTACATGAATCATGTAAAGAACCACACGCTAACGTCCCCCAATCAATGCCCACCTCCAGGAAAACAATTCCTCCCCTCCCCGCAGCATCTCAAAGTCTAATGGCACAGCCCCCTAAGCCTCCTTCTGGGACTCATTGCTGTGCTATGGGTCAGTTGAAATCTCACCCCTTATACATCCCTGTCCCCCACAAAAGGGCCCAGCACCCTCACAGGGCACCAGCCTCCTGTTCCATCTCAGGGAGGTTCTCCTAGTGCGCCCTCCTTTGTGGGGGGGACCCTGCCATCTCTTCTCCTCTGGGCTCCAGCCCAGGCCCCCTGTGTTTAAGCAGCTCAACCCCCCGCCCCCCGCTCCTTCCTACCCCCACCTCACCCTCCTTCCGCCTTTTCCCTCTGGGGTCTGGCAGAAACTTCCCCCGCTGCCACTGCTCCCCACAACCTTCTACAGAAGCTGTTGTGAACTGGCCCCTTTGTCCGTTAAAACTTTCCCTAGTGGTTACAGCATGGGGCCTGCACATCCCCCATCGCATTATCCCATTTTATAGAAAGGGAAACTGAGGCACGGAAGGAGCCCCTCTGCCACTGATTCAAGTGATGTGAAGCCAGGCTGGGAGAGAATCTAGGAGTCCCAATTCCCACATGCCTCCCAGCTAACCTGTTACACCCCATTGCCCTCTAAGGCCTGAGGCATCCAGCCCCCTGCTCCAACCACTAGACCCCACTCCGATCCCAAAGCTGGGATTAGAATCAGGAGTCCCACTCCCCTCCCAGAGCACCCCTGAAATCAGGGGCAGGGATGCCCGTTCAAAGGCTTCATTTCTAACCCCTCTGCCCTCCAAGCCATTTCCTGAGCGCTGAGCGAGGCCTGGCTCTGAGGGGATTGTTCCCACATGTTCCCCTTGGATACAGCAGGGCCCGTCCCCCGGGAAGCTGCCTTGTGCAGGCACTGAGGGTGTGAAAGGCGCCGGCCCTCACGCTTGGGGGTTTCCCACTGCCCGGCTGTGCAGAGCCAGGCCCTGAGACCAATAGGGGCAGATCTCTCACCCCACGGGAAGCTGCCTTGTGCAGGCACTGAGGGTGTGAAAGGCGCCGGCCCTCACGCTTGGGGGTTTCCCACTGCCCGGCTGTGCAGAGCCAGGCCCTGAGACCAATAGGGGCAGATCTCTCACCCCACGGTGCTGTCTTGTTTGCAGTGGTAGCGTCTCGTGTCCCTGAGCCTCTTCTTGTCAAGCTCACCTGCCCCGACGACTGGGGCGGCTACCGGGGGAAATTGTCATATTTTCTTCGC